TTTCCCTGAGACGAAGTCTCACTCTTTTGCCCAGACTGGAGTGCAGTGGTGCGATCTCAGTTTACTGCAACCTCCACCTCCCAGGTTCAAGCGATTCTCCTCTGTCAGCCTCCCAGGCAGCTGGGACTACAGGCACAAGTCAACACATTCAGCTACAAGTGTGTATTTTTAGTAGAGACGGGGTTTCACCATGTTAGCCAGGATAGTCTCAATCTCCTGACCACCTGCCTTGACCTCGCTGGGATTACAGGCGTGAGCCAACATACCTGGCCAAGAAACCTATTTAATTGTTTAACATTTTATTTTCCCAATTCATTTGGTGATGAGACCGTTTTTGGAGTAACACCTATTAACGTGCCTGGGAACTACTACTTCTCAGCATATCCCTTAGCAAATGCAGCCCAAGTGACTCAGTAGTTACCTTCTTGGGATCATTGCTATTGCCTTTATCTCTTGCAGTCTAAATAGTAAATTACAATACCCTGTGGGCAGGATCCTTTAATGCTTAATCACTTTCAAGAGATCTGAAGGACTGAGCATACAGAAGCCATGCTCTTTGGCCTGGCATTTGAGACTGGCCACAATAGGCCCTCCTACCCTATTAACCTCAAATTCCTCATGCTCCAGTGGAAGTTGTCCTTACTTCAGAATTACTAAGTATAATTTCACCTTTGTCCTTGTTCTCTCCTTCATTTGCACCCTTTGAAATACTTCATACCACTTAAGGCCTAGTTTGATGTATTTTTCCTCCCAGAAGCATTCTTTGGTTAAATCCAAAGGAATTATCTTTCCTTTCTCTGAAACCTTACAACACTGTTTAGTCCTTTTTGATGGCTCTTATCTCAATTATTTGATTTTTCATTTATCATGTATATGATCTGTATGTGTGAGAGAGACTGACTGCCTGCCTGCCTGCCTTCCTTCCTTCCTTCCTTCCTTCCTCCCTTCCTTCCTGTCATTCCTTTAGAGACAGGGTCTCCCTCTGTTGGCCAGACTGGAGTGCACTGGCACTACCACAGCTCACTGCAGCCTCAGTTAGCTCAGTTGATCCTATCACCTCAGCCTCCTGAGTAGCTAGTACTACAGGCACATGACACCATGCCCTACTAATTTTTGTGCTTTATGTAGAGATGGGGCTTCGCCATGTTGCCCAGGCTGGTATTGAACTCCTGGGTTCCCACCCACCTTGGCTTCCCAAAGTGCTGGGATTATAGGCATGAGCCACTCTGCCTGGCCTGTATATGTTTTATCTCCACTTGTAGACTAAGTTCCCTGAAAGCAGGATCCATATCAAATTCATCTTTGGAGCCTGCAGTGTTCACAGTAGTCACTTCATAATTATTTATTAAATGATTAATGACATTAAGATCTTGCAAGGAAGCAGGAACTTTTTTACATTATAAGAGACTTATAAGTTGTATGCAATACTCTCTCTCGCCAAAAAAAAAAAAAAAAGAATAAGTTATGTTCTGAATAGTTTCAGCACTATATATATTTTATTTTAATGCTTTTAAAACTGATTCAGGTATATATGATGTACTCAACTTACATCATCAACCCCAGATCCAAATTTGATTTTATGACTTAAGCAAACATTCACTCTGGTCTTATAATAACCAAGTTTCGAATGAACAGTTATGAAACAATAGTTTCAGCCAACAGAATGTGGAATATTTACTGCATTCAAGGGTTCTTCCAATGCCTCTAGAGACTGACCACACAGGCGTAATCCAGTTAATCTTTCTGCCTCTGGGCAGGACTGAACTTCAACACTTCTAAGAGATGAAGATCTATCTTGTTTTTAAACATTTCCAGAAAAGGAGATTCCACAAACTCCCTTTAATGGCATCTCATAATACTTAACTTTTATTCCCAGGACATTTTCCTTTTCTTTTGACCTAAGTCAACTCTCCTTACTTTAAACAGCCAATAGCGCTTATTTTTCTTTCTTTCTTTCTTTTCTTTTTGAAGTATCTTTACTGCTCTCCTTCTTATATTCCAGGCACTGTGCCCAAGCCTGATGCATGGTGAATTTCAGCTACATGCATCATCCTAAATATTAAGAAAAAAAATCCCGCCACCAAGAACTTTTGCCTTTCAACCTCATTCTGTGCTCCTTTCAATAACTTCTGGT